CGATATATACTTGATGTCCAAACGACAACTAATTTTTTCCTAATTGGAGTATAGTTTTATGATGCCTGAGTATGCTTTTTTTTTCGATAAAATTTGGCAAGAAGTAAGAAAAATGGTTTTTAAAGTTGAGAGAATATGTTGGAAAAATGAACCAGCATTCCTTCGATATATACTTGATGTCCAAACAACAACAAAATTTCACCTAATTGGAGTAGAGTATAAAGGTGCCTGAGTGTGCTTTTTTTTCAATAAAACTTAGTAGGTAGTTAGAAAAAAGGTTTTCAAAGTTGACAGAATATATTAGAAAAATGAACCAGGATTCCTTCGATATATACTTGATGTCCAAACAGCAACAAATATTTACCTAATTTTGGTAGAGTATTAAGGTGCCTGAGTATGCTTTTTTTCAATCAAACTTAGTAGGTAGTAAGAAAAAAGATTTTCAAAGTTGACAGAATATATTAGAAAAATGAAATAGCATTCCATCCATATATACTTGATGTCCAAACTACAATAATATATAACTTGATATCATGTGTTGGTAAATAAATTTAAATTTGTCATGATTTAATCCTTAAGTTTCGTTCTTAAATGAAGCTTGTTATAATTTCTAAAAATCTTAATTTTGTATCAAATTTTTATTAAAGATAATTGTTATAGATTTTGTTATTATAAAGAAAATAGTACTTTTAAAAAGGCTTTTTAAAGATTAATGGTAAAACTAGGGCCCTGTGAATCAGCAGTTTTTGTTTCGAATTGAATCTCGAATCAAAGTAGGTCTTGATTCGCAATTCGAATCACATTTCGAATTAACATTTTAAAGTCTTAATTTAAGCATTTTTTTATTTAATAATATATATTTCAGAATAAAATAAATAAAACAATTGTATAATCTCTTTATTGATGATTTTTGCCCTGGTTTAAATATCTCTTTATTGATAATTTTTGACTGATGTAAAAGGTATTTAATGTTATTTTGATAGCGCCAAAGCCCAGAATATCTAAAATACCCACAACAAAAACAAAATCAGCAAGTATTTGGTTTTTGAAAATTTTTGAATCGTAACCTGAATCTTATTTTTGATTTGATTCACTTCGAAATTTTGAAACTTTGCAGGTTTATAGGTAAAACATTTTAACAATTTAATTTCAATATAATTTTCACTAGGCAGCTATATAATGTATAAGTTAAAGTTGTATTTTTCTGTTAGTTAATTTACACTAACAAATATTTTATGTATGAGAATAAAAAGTGTTGTTTTTAAAAATAAACTTTTCCAGTTTATAAAGTATAGTAGGGCAAGAAAAATGTACATTCAAGCTGTTTGAATAGAAAATGGAGAGAAATAGAGAAAGAAAATACAATTGATAATTTTTTGTGTTAGCCATCATCATTAAAAGTATTAAATTGTTTCAATGAAATGCATGAACCGCAGTCTAACTAATAGACCAGTTGCAAATGTTTACATTTTCGCCGTTAACTAACGCATGCGCAGTAGCTGGTAGGCAAAAGAAAATAAACAAAACATTATTGAAACATAATGCCTGTGTCCTGTTGTGCTTTTGGTTGCTCCAGTAGAAAAAAAAAGGAGATTGTTTAAGTTTTTACCGAATTCCATTTGGAACAACAAAAGAAAAAAAAAGAAGGAATTTTTGGATAAGAACAATTAAACGAGATAAATAGTCTGAAAAACAAATAGATAATGCTCATATATGCAGTCTCCATTTAATATCAGGTATAGTATTATATACAATTGCTTTAAAAGATAATTCAATTATGATGTTTTTAATTAAAACATTTTACAGGAAAGAAATCAAACGATTCATTACACCCTGATTACGTTCCCAGTATATTTTCTTTAAATAAAACTGAAACTAATACAAACGAAAAGTTTAAAAGACACAAGCGATCAGTTAATTGAAGACATAAAAAGATTGAACTAAATTACGTAGAAGATAATGAATTATCTGAAGCTGAATTAACTGTATTGGAAAACCCAAAAATTATTGTCGATAAAGGTACTAAAAACTAATACTTATAGTATTAATTGTTTTTAATTATAAATAAAGTATTTTTCTATAAAACTACATTTCATTAAATTAAATCTATATTTTTAGGAATACAAACTAATGAAGAAGAAATTACATCATTAATTCAAGAAAAACTTAACAATCAGATAACAATAAATTTAAAACTATTAGAGAAACTAAATTACTGGAAAGGAAGAGCAGTATGCGATTTTCATTCAGTGAAACTAAATTCTGGCGATTTAAACTTTATGACTGGTCTAAAAAACGAAAAGATATTTAATTGGATTCTTTCTCTTTTCATAGAAAATGTCACACAAGTGCGAAAAGACCTGAACTATGAAAATCACTTCCACCTACTTTTGATGAAGCTACGACTAGGTTTATCAAATAGAGATCTCTCCTATCAATTTAATATCAGCAGAGAAAATGTTACCAAAATTTTAAGAAACTGGATCCCTGCAATGGCTAAAAAATTTAAATATTTAATTATATGGCCTTCGCAAACAGCAATACGACATAATATGCCATTAAAGAGTTTTAAAATACTTTCAAGAGTTATTCCTATAACACAAGTTGACTTATTGAATGATATTATGATATCTATTTGTGTAATAGTTAATTTAAACAAAAGTGTTGTTTCTTAACCAATTATCAAACATTTCTGAACAATTACAAACATTTTTCTATTTAAAATATAAAAATAGTATTTGAATACTTTTTTTTAACAAAATTATGTATTGAGAAAATTATATATTGACATTCTATAATTTACAATATATTAAAAGATAAATCTTAAAGTTGTCTTACCTGTAGAATACAAATAATCAGTTTCATCAACAGCAGATATGCGCACGGCTACCTTTCGTTAGATAGGCGCACATCAGTTTCATCAACAGCATATATGCAGCAGATATGCGCACGGCTACCTTTCGTTAGATAGGCGCACATCAGTTTCATCAACAGCATATATGCAGCAGATATGCGCACGGCTATCTTTCGTTAGATAGGCGCACATCAGTTTCATCAACAGCATATATGCAGCAGATATGCGCACGGCTACCTTTTGTTAGATAGGCGCACATCAGTTTCATCAACAGCATATATGCATCAGATATGCGCACGGCTATCTTTCGTTAGATAGGTGCACATCAGTTTCATCAACAGCATATATGCATCAGATATGCGCACGGCTACCTTTCGTTAGATAGGCGCACATCAGTTTCATCAACAGCATATATGCATCAGATATGCGCACGGCTATCTTTCATTAGATAGGCGCACATCAGTTTCATCAACAGCATATATGCAGCAGATATGCACACGGCTGTTTAAAGTGAGCTTTACGGCTTCTTGTTTTTTTTTGAAAATTTTGACTTAGAGAGTGTTACTAAAACATTTATAACTTTTGAAATATTAGAGATAATTTTGTTTTGTAAAAGGAATAAAAACAACAATAAAATGTTTTATCATACGACATTTAATACAATAGTAAAAAAACTTCTTTTAGTTTATAAAAAACGCAACAAATAATGAACTTGGTTAAATTTTAGTAATTTGTTGTTACTTTTTATCAAAAAAAATCAGAAAAATGATTTTCTGATAGTTATTATTAAATACACTCATTGTTTAACTATTAATAAAATAAAAAAATCTTACTTAATTGTTAAAGAAAAACTAAAACAGTCTTTATTAAAGTCTGCAAGCAAACCGCATTTCTTGCAAAATTATGAAAAATGTTGTTAAAGGGGGAATGAGCACGTTTTTAAATCTAGAAGTTCTTGTTTTAGAAAATAATTCACTAAGTTTACAAATTCAATGCATTATAAAATAAAACCAGATTTCAAGTTTGAAATATTTAGTCTTAAAATTTTAAGCTAAAACCTTTAAGAAACTTGAGCAATTCTTTTCTATGCATACAGTTTTAATAATATGGTGTTAGGTTGTTAATAAATAGAGACTCTAATAAAATAATTCATGGCCAAAACTGAGTTAAAGTTTTTAAATTAACCTCGCTTTTGGTAATAGAATTATTTTATGGCACTTGAATCAATCTTTTTCACAAAAAATAAACGTTTCCTTAAATATACAAATAGCTAATTTAAAATGTTTGATAATGTGTTTTTATTCTCATAAAAAACTTTGATTAACCCATTAATAAGTTGATCCATTAATAAGTTCTTTAAGTAGAAAACGATCTTTGAACACCTAGTTGATAATAGGTTTATGCACCATTCTAAAGAAAAAAGCGCCTAATTTTGTTTATTTTATACTTCAAAATTCGTCTTGCTAAGAAAGTTGTTTTCATAAAATTTATTACATATTTGCTTGGGATGTACAGAATTCAAGGTCACGTGATTGTTTTGAAATGTAAACAATGTTTTGCGCATTAAACTAGAAAAATTTGTTTCTAAACTAGCTAAGTTTGAAAACATATTTCATAACATAGCTATGGATACCTTTAGCTATATAGCTAAAGGTACAGCAAACAATTATTTGATTTTTATATGCAGAAAGGGTTGAAATTTTAATAATTTGGTGCGGATTACAAAAATAATACGATTTTCATTATTTAATAATAAAATTAAAAATATAAATGCATTAAACAATAGTTAAAAAATAAAAAATAAGCAATCCGCACCAAAAATTAGATAGAATAGACATTTATTTATAAATGTTCTAAATTTCAACCATGAAGCATTTAGGTATGTTATGAAATCTTAGTTGACCCAAGACAGGTTTTCTGTAAAAGCCACAAAAAACAGAAAAGTGATCCCAAATCATTAGCAATATTTAAACATTAATATTTTTATTCCGTTTAATGTAAATATTTATTTTTAAAAAAAAGATAGGTTTTTTATATTTTTTATTTGAAGATGGAAGCGCTTATAGGAAAAAACACTATTATTTTAAAGTTAGTGCATTTTTAAACTTTTTTTGCGGAAATACTTTTTTTTTTGATAAACACAAAAATAATTGTGACGTCAAGCTCGCTTTTATATTGAGTGAAACAGCCGTCCATAGTTAGTTGTTAGAACAGCAGCATCAAGTCCTATTTCTTTCAGTTCATTAAACTTGGAATTTGAAATACCAGCATACTGTTTATAAGAATAACAATTTTCATCAACATTCTTGGATATTTGATAATGAAGGAGTAACTTATTATTTTTTTTTTTTTTTGGCAGCTAAAATTTATGTTTGCTAATGCTGTTGGACTAACAGCTTTTTAGATCGATTCCATTCAAATTGTAAACTTGTACAAGCAGTTTTATTGATTTTAAGTCTTATACAGGCTTCAACTTTAAAAAGCAGAACTGCTATATGACTGCAAGCTGATCCAAATCTAAAAAATAAGTTGCTAAAAACTTAGGTTTTCAATATATTAATTGTTATTTCAAATTATTCATTATAAATTATCTTAACTAGTATAATTCTAATAATATAATCATATTATAATCTTAAATAATCAAAATATGTTGTTAACCCTAATAATTGTTGTTAAAACAACCTGACTTAATTGTTAAAGTTAACATACCCATTTTATGTTACTAAAAAACTTAATCTTAATTGCTTATGTAAACATACCCAGCAACACAACTGCAGTTTCCATTTAAAGTATATCCTTTGGATTTGTGAACATAAATCCAAACATCATACATTGCTGTTTTTTTTTCCTTGTCTTTGACTTGGTAAGACTTAAAATAACAACATTAATTTTGTTTAAAATTTATTGTAGTTGTATATCTTAGTTATATTTTAGATTCCTCTAAAATTGTTTTTTTACCTTTGTTTTTAAAGCACAAAACTCAGAATCATCAATTAAATCAACATAAAAAACATCTTGCACGTGTCCACAGATAAAATAATTAAAAGCCTCAAGGGATTTATAGCCTTTCGTACTTTCTTTGCTATATAAACTTTGTGATTCTACTAAAAATGTGTGTCATTATAACTGAATTCTGGAAACAAACTAACATTGTTTTTCCAAAATTTTTCTTCGATACCATAATGATCGGGAAGCAAAACATTATTTTCTAATGTCAACTTCTTCAAATAAAATTCTTTGTCAGGATTAGAAAGAGAATTGAAGTAAGATGACATTGTTTAGATGAAACTTTATGAAGTAGTCCGAATTAAAATTTATTTTATATTTTTGCCTACCAACTAACGCGTATGCGCTTAAATTGTAAACATTTGCATCTATACAGATTTAAGCTGCTCAAAATTAAATGTTGTGGAGGTAATATAATTTTGTTTATAAATATCAATTCATTACTTTTTTTCCTTTCTTCTTTAAAATGCTCTATTTCTCTAATTTTGAATTTGCCACTACTAAGACTTAGTAGTGGCAAATTCAAAATTATTACATAACTCATGATCTAAGAATAATCATTCAATTTAAAACTATGTTTTAAATATATTATATAATAAAAAATATACATTAAAAATAACATATATTAATAAAATATTTCTATCTGAGTATTACTAGTAGTCTACTAATGATACTCAGATAGAAATATTTTAAAAGATTTAAACTCAAGTTAAATATTTATTCAAGTATTACTAGTTTTATTTTGATATTATTTATTATAGGAACCACTACCATTCTTATGCAAGAGAAAACATAATCCAACCAAAAATAACCAACAGAATAATAAGTAAGTACTCCTTTAATGCAAAAAAAGAAAAAGAAAACAACTTTTATGCATACTCCGCATACTGTAGTTCAAGGTATAGATTGTCTGTCTGCAAGTTGTTTTAGGAAGAAAAAATTCTAATTGTTTTTTTAATGCTTCAATAGTTTACACATTTTATTTGTTGTTAAATAATATATTTTATTTATTTTATGAGTGTTTTAAAATTATTTTTTTATTGTTGACTTTTATTTGTTTGTTATGACATTTTATTTCATTGTTATGACATTTATTTTCATATTAGCATTTAGTAAAAGCTATTTTATTTCTAGTATTCTAATATTGATTATTTTTTTTACATTGATTGATTTACTTTTTGATCTTAAAGATATTTAGATCAGCAATGGCAAGATTTTCACGAGGAAAGAGGAATTTAATATAGTGCAAAGCCAAGATGGAGCATGTGTTTTTCCGTAGAAAAGAAAAATGTTGTTTTACCAGAGACACCTGCATTAATTTCCCTTATAAGAAAAGCTACTAAAAAAGATTCCTCATCAAATGGAGTCTCCCATTACTGAGGAAGGTATGTGAAATATTTGGTATTTATTTTGGTATGCATTCATTTTATTAATTAGTAAAAAAAGCAAATAACTAACTTTAAGACATTAGAAAAAATATATTTTTTGAAAATCCAATAATTTTGTTTATTTAATAAATAGATATTTTGATACAGTATGTTTTGTTTTTGTGTTTCGATGCTTTTAGAAATTAATTAATGTTTGGTTCTTTTGTGTTCCTGTAATATCTTTATTATTTTAGAATATAGAATAGAATTTCAGAAAAAAGTTATATATGCACTGGTAGAAATGAAAGAGATGTTTGTAAAGCTCTTTCCAGTAATTAAAATAATATCATGACAAATAGTCCTGAAATTTGATGGATGAATTTGCAGCAGTCGTTTAGTGATTATTATAACAGTTAAAATGATTTTCGGGTGAGATCTGAAAGTAGGTTATTTCAAACCATGACTTTTTGCAGCTTTTTTATTGTTTTTTTGGGATTATGTATTTGCTTAACTTAATCTACTTGTAAATTATTATAAATGTACTATAAAAATAATGTAGTGTAATTTTTTTCTTAACCCTTTAGGGATTATGATAACAGTTTAAACGGGCGATGTCTGAAATGGTAGGTTTTTTAAACCATTACTTTTTGTATTTTTGAACCATTACTTTTTGCACTTTTTTTTTAATGTTTTTTTTATCAATTATGTATTTGTTAAGGTAATCTACTTGTAACTTTTTGTAAATGTACTATAAAAATAATGTAATATAATTATTTTCTTAAACCTTTAGGTTAACAAATTTTCTAAAATAAGAGGTAAGACAATTACAAAAAATGTGATGTAAAAGGTTTTGAATAAAAAATCTTTTGAATCTAGTTATTATAGTTTTTTATAAAAATATGTTTAGCTTAATAATTCTAAACATTTGTAAGGTTATTAATGGTAAGTCAAGTGTAAAACTATATATTTTTAAAAATCAGAGTTCGTTGCTTTGATGCTGTTTTATATTTATTTTTTATGTATTTTATGCAAATTACTCAGACAATACCTTTTTTTTTAGAGAGTGTCGTGTCAGTTAAAGTGACTACTACAGTTGCCGACATAAGAAAAGGAATAATGACTTTATTAAAATACGCACTCGACAGATCGAATGGTCGTGGTGAGCGCGTAAAAGGCGATTCACTAGATGTATAACATTTTTTCCTAATTGTTCTGGAACTATTGTTAAATAAAACATTTTTTTAAAAACATTTTACTCTATTTGCATTGTGTATAAAGTCCCTTGAAGCAATTTAGTTATATCTGATTAATTTACTTGAAATACTTTGCGCAAAATATTGCCTTTTTATTGTGTTATTTTATTGCAATTAAAGTTGAAATAATTTTTTAGTTAATTGGATTTAACCAAAATAAAAAACAAAAATCAACGTTGAATTTACGTTGTTTCAACGTTGTTCTAACGTCTTATCGACTACGTATCAACCGAATATATCACCTATTCAAAGTTGAAATATGGTTGATATGTAGTCGATAAGACGTTAGAACAACGTTGAAACAACGAAATCATTGACGCTGTTTCAACGTCGTAGTTTTCAACGTCGGATTTTGTTTCCAATTCCACCAAATTTCAACGTTGCATATGGTCAGTTTGCGACGTTGTTTCAACGTTATTTCAACGTCATTGTGCCTGCTGGGTAATGCGCATTTACAACTACATGCGCCGGCTGGGATTAGTCAAAGTATAGGAGTTTTTTGTATTATAATTCGTTTCTGATTAAATTTAAAAAAAAAATCGACTTTAATTACAAATTGCTATAAAGTATTTAAATTAAATTTTATAAAATTAAGTAACAAAGTTAAAATATATTCACATGCTCGTTTAAAAAATCATAAGTGTGTAACTTAAAAATTACTAGTAGTTTTCTGATTTTCAACCCATCATTTTTTGTATGTTTTGTTATTCACAAAAATAAATAAAAAGTTCAAAAACTTATTTTTTTGGCATAACATTTTGTTTGAATTGTGATAATACATTCCCTGCTGGTGAATACTGAGCAACGACTATAACTGAACTTCCTTTAAATGAAATACCAAAGCCAACTTTTGTACTCGATTTCCAAACCAACTGAGTAAAATGACCAGTGCGACTTGAAAATGTCGGATTGTTATAACTATAGCTTTTAATCTCAGAGTACCTAAAACGTTTAAAAAGTTTAAAATTTTTAATATACATTTTTTAATATATAAATGGTTTATTTATAAAAAATAGATAGCAAACTAAAGCAATAACAACAACAACTAAAAACTACCAAGAATTGCTTGCTCTAACGCAATCACTTCCAGCAGGATATCCAGAGGAATAATAAAGGTTTTCTCCATAACCTTTAGCTTTGCTATGCACAAACGTGTTACTATTTTGTAAATAGTCTGCCCATTTTTGTGCACTCGCAGTAAGTGCACTATCTAAAACTAAGTTTGGAGTGTTTAGATGTAGGGCTCTCAACCTGTTATGTTCTGCCAAACATATTTCTTTAAAAAAAAAAAAATATTACCTCAAGATTGTTTTTTAAATAAAGATATCATGATTAACATTATAAAAATAAAGTTCTGTTATTAATATTTATTTCTAAACTAATTATATTACAAATAATTGTTAAAGAACTAAATTTTTTGTTTATTATATACAGATTTCATTGCTCTTTATCTTATGCAATAAAGACTTATTTAAAATTTATGCAATTAGAAGCGTAGAGAAAGTTATTTTAAAAATCAAATAATTCTTACTACTTTGGTCAACGGCACGCTCTACAATCGGATTAGTATCTAAAAATGTATAAAGTTGTTTAATAGATAATAAAAAATAACAATATAATAACAAATAAAATAATAAACAAAATAATAAACAAAAAAAATTACAATAAAAAATATTTAAAAAAAGGGCTAACATAAATACGCAAAACGTAAAAAAATACGGAGAGAAAAAAAAAGTTTACCAACTTTCTTTATACTTTTATTTAATTTTTTTTTAGTAGATTACTTAGTAGATCTAATTATTTTAAAGAAAAATATATACAAAAAGTTTTCGTTAACTGTGTGACCAAAAATATTTGTCTTTGGCCAAAAATTGTACAAAACCGAACACCGAATATTACTACTTCTTTATATTCGAAGTTTTTTGTATACACAAATGTATATTGGTATACATTAAACATTAAAAGTTTAATTTGTATATTTAACTTTGTTCTTTTTTTTAACAGATATTTGGAGATACTTTTAGATATCTCCTAACGTCCATCTAGTTAAAGTTTTTTTTTATAATATTCTTCATTAATGTTTCACTGGTAGATAATTATATGTAAAATTGACCACTTTTTTAACATTTAAAGGCTAGTTTCAATAAAAAGAAAAAAATCTCTTTGATGACGTTAATAATCTAGGAATAGAAAACATTTTTATGGCATAACCAGCCAGCGTTATGCCATAAAGATGTTTTCTATTGAGTTGTACAAACACTTATATGAAAAACAGTGAGTGTAAGAATATTTAAAATAATGTTAATAGGGATAATTTCAATAAACTTAAAATGCATGAGGTGCAAAATCTTAAGATAAAATTGGTTTACTTTTAAATGTGCATGATACTAAGCATGAAACTGTCACATACATGCATTCTACACAACAAATAAAAATGTTGGTTAATAACAATTTTAAAATCAGACTGCATAGATATACTCAGTTATATGCAGTAAAACCTATGATTGGCCGACGACAACAACAAAACAAATTAATCATAATGTAAAAGCTTAAATAATTTAACATTTTAGTACTAGATTGGGACAACAGAACCCATAAAATAAGAAACAGTACTTTAAAGTACTGTTTCTTAATTAAGTACTGGCCAATTTCATAAACTTAATTAAGTACTGGCCGATTTGCTTGGTTTCTTATATAAAAAAAAAATAAACAACGTTTTTATCGATAAAAAAACAGTATAGTTTTATATAGCAAAGTTCATATAATTTATAATTTAAATGTATTTATTACATTATATTTAAATCTTTTATATATATATATATATATATATATATATATATATATATATATATATATATATATATATATATATATATATATATATATATATATATATATTTAATGAAAAGAATTGTTGAAAGAAAAAGAAAAGTATTGAGTTTGATGAACTACATAAACTCTGAAACTTTGGTTAAACAGATACTAAATGAAAAAGTTGAAGATAGGTAAATTTTTATCAAGAGACCTTTGACACATGCATACCTAGGAGCCACACACTCAAGATTAAAACAAATTAGTGTCTAGAGACTTGTTTACACTTACATAGGTTTGCTCCTAGGCATGTTTGAAATTAAAAATATACTCCTGAAAGGCATTCGCCTCATTATGTAAAATAAAAAAGAATTTTTGAACTTACAAACTATTGAAACTGTTAGCGCAACGACTACAACTTCTACGAACATTTTTCAACTATCAAATCTTTTTATGATCAAGACCAATCTGCAACTTGCTGATAAGTGTAACTAAAAATGACTTGCTTTTATAGCAAAAATGTTCCTTTTTTTTTAATGTTTATATTGTTCGTTTCGTCCAATCAAAATATTCAGCCCTTAATAAGTTCTATACAAATATTTTAATGTCTAATCTTAATAAAAAAAAAACTAGTTTTATTGTTAAATTTAATAAATCCCGCTATTGAAATGTTTTTAATTAAATTAAAGCGCAACAAATGCATTAAAATTGAATTTAAATAGTTTAAATATTGCTGTTAATTCTTTTCTTTTAGTAGCAGAGGTCATTAAGTCGTCGCAAGCCAATAGTCACAAGCATAAGAATAAAAAGCACTTATAATACATCCGTTGTTCGCTACCGATAAAGAAGGAAAATATCAAATAAACAAAAATAAATTAATAGTTATTTAATGTATTTCAATAATTAACCCAGAACGATTTTTTAGTGGGCGAATTTTAAGTTGGTGAGCTTTATTTTTTTAGTGGGCGAATTTTTAGTGGGTGAGTTTTATTTTTTAATAATGGGGAAAGGTAAGTTTTCACTCATGCATTTTTCTAAGTAAAAGGCAAAAGGAAAGTAAAAGTAATCACGTGAGCATGCGTAATTTTGCTTCAGACAAATTAAAATTTATTCAATGCATGCTCACTTTTTTTATATTTTTCCCGTCCCTTTCCTGTTCCGTAGAAAAAATGGATGAGTGGAACTTGACTTTTACTGTACTTTGATTACTTTTTAGTTGCACTGATTATTTGTACAATGATTAATAAATCATCAGTTGGTTAGTTTCGCCTAAACTTTTATGCGGTGTACATTTTATTATTCAAAAAACTTAATGCCATTTGGTTTGAATTTTCACTTCAGTGGAGCTCAAAAAAATAATTTTTTTTTTTTTCAGACAAAGTATTTTTAAAAGAGTTTACTCATTCTGCTACACTTTAAAGCCATTTACTCAGTAGTTGCTCAGCTTTACGTGAATAAAAACTTAAGCAAAATACCTTAAATTTTTATTCACGTAAAGCTGACCAATTACTGAGTAAAAGCCATTGCTCATTTTTATTCACCTGGCCTTTTATATTGTCTTCTTAAAATTGGTTTGTTAAATTTTTGTTTTTACTGAAAACGAGTTATTTTTACAGAATTTCATTTTAGGATATGCTTGTTCAGCATCTAATATGAAATATATACAATCTGCTCTTCTTATCAAATTTTCAGGTTTATTTTGTTCGAAACCCTAAAATGAAAACTTTTTCTATACCCAGATATTGAACAGACCAATATGTTAAATTTATTCTGGTTCCTAAAAATTAGTGGACACCTTCTTTTTAATATGATTGTCAATTGGCATCTTAAATTATTTTATAAATGATGCAGTTACCACTTTATAAGAATAAGAGTCTTATTTATTTCCCGCTTTTAGAGAGAAAATAGGCATTGACAAATACCTGAACGGAAAATTTTTTTTTAGTTTGAAGATATGCTTGCATATACCAAACTAGTTAACAAAATCAAACAATTTTTTCTCATATTTTTTAGTTGTGCACCATAAAAAGACATTACTAAGATATCCACGATAAGTCTGTTTTTTACACTTGACGTATTTTGCGTCAATATTTTTTGTTTATCCAAATGCTCGTGTAATCCTTTAATTCGTTTGAAAGCTCTTTTAATACGTCTTCTATTTGGCATTTGTCATTAAGAAGCTGCGGGTTACAAATTGATTAATAATATTCCTAACGTGGGCGAACTTGAACCGAGAATAATTTTTTTAGTAATATAAGAATAAATCTGGATAAGTTGAAAATATGCTTTTTGTTAGCCCATTGTTTGTGTTGCTTTGTCCCAGTTAGCACACGTACACAGTTATACGGCTTTCCAAAGACGTCCTAAGTACGCAGGACGTCTTTAGTATTTTACTTCCACTAGGGTTCACTTAAATAGTTGCGTATTTAGAAATAATAAATTTGAGTTAACACGTTAACACTTAAGTCTGGTTTACTATTCGTAGGTTTAATGATTACTTTCGTACTTTGAATTATTACAATTGAATCTTTTATTTTATGTGTATTGTATTAGCAGATACTCTTAATAACATTTTAGTCTTTGATTTGACCCCGGACATACATTGATACATTTGTTACGATGTATCAACGATAAAATTTGATATGTCAATAAAATCACTAAATTCTATTGAAATTAAAGTTAAACCTTTAAGGTAAAAAATTGCATTTGCAAATTATTATCTATAAAATATAGTTTTCTGCCTCAGAAAGTAGAAAATTATACCTTAAAAAGGGTATATTACATTTTCTACCTTATTAAGGGTATAGTTTTCTACCTTATATGAGGGTATTTCCTAAAATAGAAATTTCCCCCTTTTTTAGTGCGTTTAATGTTTTTATATTGATAAACAGTCTTAGATGAGGGTTTTAGTTTGTATAAAAACAAACACTCATTTAGAGCTAATATTAGACTTTTTTTATAATGTGTGTTTTATGTCCATAATGTGTGGTTTATCTCCATGAACTATGGCTACATAAACTTGATATATATGCAAATGAAAAAAAAATGGAACTATTTAAAGCAGAGAAGCTGAGAACTTTTGTACTTTTGAGCGCCTATAAAAGCATTTCTTTAAAATCATGTTCAATTAAACGTAATGTTAAAGACTTTGCAATGTTATTAATGCTCTATTGATACACGCAAAAACCAGTAGCCGCATAATGTCATGATATTCAAACAGATGACCTTTTTCCACCAGAGTTACACCTAATGGATGAAGAGCTGTTAATCATATATATATTCATAAAGAAAAATGTTGTGATGAAATTGAAGTTGCTAAATTTTCAATAAATATGATAAGTGCATGCGTGCATTGATAACGAACTTAAAACGACTGGCAGAGCAGCATAGAATTTTAAACAACATGATTAAGTATGGTTTTTTACAAAAGCAATGTCATGATATTCAAACACATATTACAAACTTTAATGATCACTACACTACTGCACAACAATTGTTGAAGATTACGGAATAAATGTTTCGTTAAAATTTCATCTTGTATCAAAACATTTAGGTGTGTTTTTGTACAGTAAGAGAGTGCGAGTTGGCTTCTACTCTAAACAAACTGTTGGATAATTTATTTCAGCTTTCTTGGAAAAGATTCAGTTTCAAAAAATAACAGCTCTTATGCAAAATACTTGAATAAATCTGTAATCAGTTTTAATAAAAAAAACTTTGTAAATATTTTAAATGCTCCTAAGAATATATTTATATGCTTCAAAGAATATATTTAAATTTACTTAGTTATAACTTATGTTATAACAAAGTATATGTTAAATTTATACATAAAGAGTCTTATACTCATCTCAATAATACTATACATTATTTAATTTCCATGATAAGAGTTTGTATTTTTTATAAATGATGTACTCAAGAAAGTCATGTCCAAATGACATATCCAATAGTATGACCGTCTCATTTTGGGTAAAGACTTTAAATGGCTACAACTTTAATATTTTTTTTTTAGAAATTTGTGTAAAAATTAATAACAATAACAAAAGTTTTTTTCCATGCATTTTAAACGAAAATTCCCGAATCAAAAAACGTAAAAAAATTTGGTAAAATGAGTTCTGCAATATCAGTGCCAAGTCAAACTTACATCTATACATCATAAAGACTCTAAAAATATATGACAATGTCCGGGATTAAACCACAAGATTAGAGAGTGATTAAGCCCATCTGTGCATTATTATAATATTTTTTTCAAATATAGTTATTAAAAATGGGCTTTCTTTTAAACGCAGAAAATTAAATTGAGTATCTGAGTTTATTACAATTCAAATCATTATTGGGGGTATACTTAAACCTATTATACTCTTTTTTTCTTAAAAGTGATCGAATTAAAAACAGAGACATGAGTATATTAGGTTTGAACAAGATTAATGCAAACAAATTTATAATTTAAGCTAAAAGAAGATAAGAATTTTTTTTAATATTATACGCCTACAAACACATTCTGCAGATAGTTTGCATGTTTGTATTATTGAACATTGGGACCAAAGTTCTGATTAAAATAGTAGTATAGTAATTTAATAGTTAAATGAAACTGAAACATTAAACATGTGGAATAAAGTTTTTTTTATTGCTATTGTGTTTTGTTGTATGAATGTATAAATACAATTAAGATTTCAATATAAACACAGATTACCGGGCATCTGAAGAATCTGGCAAGGATCAGACACTTATCGCCAAGTTCCAGAAAATGATTCCGTAAAAGATAAATAATTACGTACATCATATGCATAAATTTAATAGCTACCCATATAGATAAAATAAGACTTTCTTTTTAAAAAGATAAAACAAAAAGTTACAAGGGAATTAAAAAAGAGAAAAGGAAAAAAAATATATTTTAATATCATATGCTGCCTAATAATTTTGAAGACCTAAGAAAAGGTCTTCAAAAATATTAGGCAACATATGATATTGTAACCTAAACATGAATAAAAGAATATTAAAAAAATTTAATTGGTAAACATTCAGGACTCCAAGCTTACTAAGCAGTGGATTGGCACTGGTGTATTTATTAACATTTAATATATGGCGGCTTGCTTGTTTTTATTTTTTTAAGATGTTACAATAACTAATATAGCTATGAATAAATGAAAAGTACATAGACTTTAAACGGTTTTTATCCAACATATATTTAGTTTTATACATAATTCTAATACTTTTTGAAATTTTATTTTCTGTTAGATTAATATGCTCTTTCCAATTTATTTGGTCATCGATTAAAACACATAAGAATTTAAAACAGTATGTCCGTTGCAACTTGGTTTTTTCTATTGAAATATCCAGGAGTTTTAAAAGTAACGTGTCAGATTTCGAAGACTTAGAGATGAGAGTATATTTGCTTTTGGTCGGGTTTAGAGAGAGTTTGTTGGCTTTAAACCATTCATTAAGGTTATAAAGTTCGCTGTTCATAGTGGTAAAGATTGTCTTAATGTTAGAGTGAGTATAAAAAACTTGAGTGTCGTCAGAAAAAAGATTGAAGTTTAG